TTCATTTCACGTACGCCTTCTCAGATCGCAGCACGAATGTTGATTCTCCAAGTTATTCAATTCGGAGTCGGTGATAAATAGAACTGATCGTCGTTCTTCTCTAGAATCCGTTTAAATGAACGAACAAATCGTCTGTCGGGTCGGAGCTCGCAGGCTGAAAAACAAAGAGCCCCAGAAGATAAATCTCTTTCGTCGCGGGCTACGAGGAATGGCCGACATCGAATGAACGCTAGCAATAGAAGACGAGGGTCTGCCGAGCGTTGTTGTGTGTATATTTGTACTTACTATCAATGCCGCGAGTTATTAGTGCGACAAGAAGTGTCTACGAAGATAATAAACCAATGGCCGGCTATATACCTTTCAGGGACACCGATCAGATAGAATCTCACGATTATTTTTTCTATTTTCTTTTCTTCTCCTCGAAATACACTTCTCATATCTCTATGGCTTATTCTTTTTTTCTCTTCAATTCGAAGAATCGTACTATATTTTCGCGCTTTTGCGCAACACAAATAATACTATAAACAATCGTCAGCTAACTTTACCAATTATTCCAGACGAATGTATTTTGCAAATTCCTTAAAAACATACAAATCGTTGATTTGAAAAAATGCGCGGATTGGTAAAACAAATTTGAACATTGATAAGTTGGCTTTTCTATTCACAATCCAATTAGTTGGAAAATCTATGCGGGCGCGATTTAATTAATCCCCGGCGGGGTCGTACCTCTTCCATCCGAATAAACCGCATTCACGAGCGGCTCTAGATCTTCAGGAAAGTCACTTGCAAATGATCAGCCTCCGGGTGCACTCGAATTTCTTTAAATCCGTCACCAGACAATGGATGCTCGCGAGAGCTGTCCCAGTCGAGTAAGCCCATCATATCATGCACACGCATCCGCGCTGTGCCTTCGTACGTACTCTATGATTTTAGGAGCTGATGCAGTTATACACGGATTCACTATATGAACTGGCTTTCGCATAGTTTTTCAATTAATATTCAATAAAATATGTTATTGTTTAACGTTTCGTAGTTGGATTCTCGTTCAAACATTCTAGCGAAAAAGAAAACGCTTCTTTCCGTCTGATGGTATTTTTAAGCTACACTGCACTGCAGAGAAAAGAAACATCATATAAGAGCAAAGAGAGAAAGAAAGGTGAATGCACTAGTAGGAAAGTTGGCAAGATCCGAGTTAAGATACTCATTTCTTGGGATCACTGCACGTTTATAATGTAGCCGTAAGGCTCAAAGGTCACGTTAGCCTTAGAGTCATCAAGATATCCTCGTCTTAATTACCCATTGATCTCGATGATGTAATCGCTGATTAAATAAAAAGTAGGATGCACTGAATGTGAATCTTGGTAAATAAAGTGATGATATTCCGAGCGCATCGCGTCTACGACGAGGACACCGACAATCCGGCAGGCACAGAGTAGAACAGAGTAGAGCAGAGAGGCGCGGACGGGTGTCGCCGCTGGCGAAACAAGGTACCGGTATCTCGAGGTGCGCGTCCAGTCCCAGAGGCAATCAGTGTCCCAGAGATCGGAGAGAGAGAGAGAGAGAGCGTGAGCGCATGGAGATCCGCAGTCGGCTGGAATCGCTGAATAATCGCAGCACCAGCACTGCACTGCTACTCAGGTCAAAGGCCTGTGACCTCCAGTCTTCCTGCAGTATATATATCTACTCGCACTGCTATCCCCGACCAATACCTCTATCTCCGATCTTTTCTTATTCGGCATTTGTTTCTCATATGGCTGCTGCTCAACCATTTACGACGTTCAGATGACAACTTTCAAATGGGGCTTGCGTCTTCAGTTTCGAGCCTGCATTTTGTAGAAAAGGCGTTTGACATTTTTCGCGAGACACTATTTTGGAAATATATTCACCTTATGACCTTTTTGTCCGTGACTTACTTTAGCACAGCAGCGTCGATCACCCGTGGTATACAAGTGTACAGCGTTAGATAAATTTTTCAGCTGCAGAATTATTTATGGACTTTTGCGCGCCGCTACGGTGTTCGCATTCACGCTTGGGGACACGCTGAAGGGCTTTGAACTTAATTTTTTTAAAAAAAGCATGAACGTTTGGCACTTACGGGTTTTCTTTTCCATTAGTGATCCAGAGATCGAATCTTTGTGGCCTGTGAAAAATAAATTCGAAAAGCGAAAAACACGTGGAAATGACTTGACACGATTATAAAAACAAATGCCTAGGGAGTTTGCAAGATACAATCACGTATTTATCGCAAGCTCAACCTTCCACATTAACTATAAAGAATGCGAAATATGAAAGCTCGATCGCAGTCGCATCTTTCACAAGAAATCCCCTCAAAGTGCTCGTGGCAGTGTAACGCCATAGTGTATCGGGCCTCGCGTCGGACTAATCCCGGCGCGCACTACTTAGCAGGACTTTACACCTCGTAAAAGCGCCGACGCGCTCGCGAGCCTTTACCGCAAAATATTAAAGCCAAGCTTAAGCCATATACACGCGTACGAGCCTCGTAAAATCGAAACATAAGTGACTCGACTCGAAAAGCGAGGGCACCTTGTACGCATACCGTGATAACAACAACGCGAGCATATAAATTTCCCTGATCGAGAAAGCACGAGAACCTTATCTGTGCACTCTTTAGTTTTACCTTTTTTGCTGCTGCTTTTTTTTCTGTGCACTTACTCGCTGCTCGACGATTACTTCGACTTTAATACGTTTATGAAAGCTCGCCAACGGCTTTACGAGAGGCCGTTACTCACGCGTGGCTGCGTCTTTCTCAACAAAGTTTCGCGACAAGTATTCCTCGCTGATTTGCTTTTTATTTCCACGACGCCAAACTTTGTTCACAATCTCGGAGACAATCGACTAAGTAATTAATAGCTTCTCGACTTTCTAACGAAGCAAGACTTTTCGATAATAGAATTAAATGTTGCTAATACGCCATGATTAGAAGGACTAATTAGGCACATTTTACAACTAAACGTGCATAATCAGTTAAACTCGATAGAAAATAACATGTTCAATTGCAAGTTCTCATATTCAGAGTCACTCGTAGAGCTGCTTCCATCGATCGAAGTCTCTGAAGCGTAAACGGGTAGGCGAACGTGAGAAACAATCGAGCCAAGTCCAGAAAAAACTTGATCCGGCTAGCATACACGTGAAAGAGCGTCGAAAGAGCTTAGAGTTTTGGAAGACCGTAAAAGACCGCGACATATTCCAGTCACGAATCGAGCGCGTTCAAAGCAAGCCTTGCGCATTTATAATTATCACCAAGTCCGATTACAAAATGATGAAGTTCTGTCTCTCGTCATGTTGGCTTTCTACACCTCGGCGACTAGCCTCATCTTTCCACCACGAATGTTATACGCGGTCGTGCGCAAACGTAGCTCCGATTACTTTTCATCATACCCACTAATTGACAAGTAATAAAGACTTTGCATATAATAAATGAACAAACGAACCGGATAAACAAATATTGATCGTCGAGTCAAACAGCACAGCGCTCGTGGTATATTTACAAACGACTCGTCTGGTCGATCTAAAAAAATAATAAGGTAAAAAGTCAGCGAAACTTTCAGCCGAGAAAATAATTTTTAGCCGAGCTTTTAATCGCGTTATAAACATAGAGAAATTCTAGAAAGCCACATTTCAGCGGCGATGAGTTTGATTAGCGATGCTCGAGTGCAGCAAGCATCTTATGAAATATTCCGCGAGGAATTCCGCCAACTTAGTGTAAGTAACATCGATCGCGTGGCCTCTCTCGCGGGCGCTGCGGCTGGCTGGCAGGGGCCAAAGGACTGGACGTATAACTGCATGGCTCGCTGGTCGTGGAACAGGCGCTTCCAACATGAGTTGCGGCCAGCGTTCACATGCTCGACTTACACATGTATAATGACTCAGCTTGCAAGCAGACACGATCGTTAACAGGCTTATTACGCTGCTGACGGATTGGCTCGCACATTTATTCTTTTTTTATCGTTTATGATATCTTTATACTTTATATTTTAGCTCGGTATTAAATTCATCATATGGAAATCCATAAATATAATGTATTAAATGAGTTTTAGAAAGCTTTGACATTTCAATAAATTTACGTGTGCGAAATTCGAGTAATGAAATATGCGATCAGTACTTTAAATCAAATTCAAATGAAACGAGGAACCCAACATCAATCCTCTGGCTAAACTTAGCAGTCGGGATGCGTACACAGCAGTGGAAAGAATAATAGCACAGCAGTTCTATGGCGTGATAAAAATTGCTCGAGGAAAACACTGAAGTGTTGCACGAAGCATTATCGTAGGCTGAAATCGCATCAGCTCTGGGGAATGTAGAGGGCTAGCGGCACGTTCAGGAAAGCAGTATGAAAACGAGGTAAACGACGTGACTTTGGGCGCTTTCTCCGCATCCGCTATAACGAAGTTATCACTAGAGCTCGTAATGGCCTCGCAGTCGTGCTCTCTCTCTCTCTCTCTCTCTCTCTCTCTCTCTCTCTCTCGCGATACACAATGCTTCGCATCACGTCGACCTGAAAATTCGATTTCTAGCACTTTCGCAATTGCTTTATGTGCTAGAGACTACGCGATTGCCTTCCAGGAAACTTGAAACTACCATGTAAATACGACTCCACACGACAGCGGGTCTGCCTACCTACGAATAGTAGCTTCTTGGAAGGTCGGCTCCCATAAACAATCAGACATGTACCAACGTTACGCGGTTTGTTGAGAGACATACGAAATTGCTTCTTAAACTAGGTTATTGCTCCTCTCACTCTCACTCTCCAACTTTCGTACACGTAAATAATTGCACGAAACACTATGTAAACATTACATTTTACATTTAAGCAGTATTTCCGTAATTGTTAAATGTTCGTGTGGCTGGAGAATGGTCATTTGGTTAGCTCGCTTACAGACAGACTCAATTAAAGAACCCTGAGGAAAAGTCAATATCTGGCGATATATAACCGTGACGCAGAGTATGACAAATGGGACGTAAAAGAAAACCGAACTTACCCGTGATTGTGATTTTCGCTGTTGTCAGAGACTGTGGGATCTTGAGTAAGCGGACCCTGGGTTACGTCAACGCCCATGCTACCGATGTCAAGGTTGGCGTAAGTACGCCTACCTTGGACTCGTGTCATCTCGTTGGCAGCATTGCCCCTCACTCCGCTGACTAATTCCTGATACAACTCCTCGTATAGAGAACTGCCATTCTCGTTGCTGTTAAGCGCGTCATCCAATCGTGCTGGATCCAGATGGTAATTTGGATTTTCGAACGAAAGCAGTCCATTCTCTGCAACAAGCATCAGCAAATAATTTATTGAATAACCTCACGTTATTTTTGCGGTGGACTCACGGAAAGATACAAATTTGTGATCGTGTCTGACTAAATCCGAGAATCACTACTTACACGACCTACAAAGCATTTTCATAAATGGATTGAGAAATCGGATTGTTGTATACATTTTTATTTTATATATAATTGAATTACTTGAATTATATTTTTTATTATTTAAGTAACCATGCAATTTGGACTAATTGCCGTGATTTGCAAAGGTCAAACGACACTCCCACTGAAAGGCACCGTGGATATAAACCTTAAATAAAACTGCGACAAAATAGCCATCCCTACTCCCAAAACGATTCAGCCAGAAAGGCCGAAAACTCGAACGTCTTATTGGCCTGTCCTTTGCGACATTTTATGCTTTAAGCCACTTTAAGAAACTTTCCATTTTAGTGCACAGCTCGGGAGCGACAATCCGAAGAGCTGCACAATAAAATGAGGCAAGCGCGTGGGCGAGAGAAAAAAAAGGCTGAGTCCCAGAGGACTCGAGAAAAAGTTTCAAAGTTTGGACATGCTTTCGACGTTGGAACAAGTGCGAATCCTTAAAAGGAAAGGAGAAAAAATTTTCCGAAGAAATAGAGGCAAGTAGGATAGCGAGAAAAACAAAATGGAAAATAAAGAAGGTGCAAGAGAGTGAGAGAGGGAGAGAGGGGGAGAGAGAGAGAGAGTGAAAGATGGACAAGCAGACAGGGAAAGAAAAAGATGAATGACCTTTTCGGTACAGCATTTGCGAATATGTGCATTGTACGACGTCCCTCGGAAATTGACTTTTTTCTATTCATGTTTTTTACTTTTAGAATAGTTGTGTTCTCAACATTATCAAAACTTTATGGTACTATAATAAAAGCAAGTTTTCCGATTGTAAAAATGATCGCGATAGAATATTCGAGCATCGTATAGGTTACTTATTGAAAATGAGTGTGAAAAAAATCGATGAGGCTAAATCAAATAGTGAAACGTAATTGACGGACAAACTCACTATTCAGCGTAATAATTGCGTATACATAGTGCGTATAATGGATAGTCGGAGCGAGCACATAGGTATCTGCGAGACACGTTACAATAAGCCAGTAGCAGAGAGAAAATAAAATGGGAAAGCGTGTACTGCCACCGCCCTTGATGAGTCATCCCTGTCGATTTCTCGAAGGCAGGGAAGACTAAGCGTGCGGAGCCAACTTTTCGACGTTACAATGCCTCTTTTTCTTTCCCTTCCAACGTATCAGCGACATGACTCCTAGGTATATGAATTTTCACGGCCACACGCGAAATCCGTATTTGTTACATGTTAAATATTCCTCAGTATGGGTAAAACGGCCTTGCTTACATTTGAATGATTAATTATTACGTTAAATATCATGTTTTTCAGAAAAGTTTATTTAAACAATTTGTTGGTTTCTTCTTTCAATTATTTTCAATTTAAATGAATGACTGACTGAAAAACATCTTTTACTCTATGCTAAGTGATTTAATTCTTAATGATATGTTTTCAAAATTAAACCAAAAGTATGACCGAAATACTTGCTGTTACTTGACAGATGATCCAGTAGTAAATGAGTCACACAGCGTAGTACGAACATTGTCAGAATGTTATAAATAAAAACAAGATGAAAATGTTGAGGTACAATAATTGACATGCTTATTATACCAAATAGTGTTTGGTTTTTTGTAAGGTTGAACAAAACTTACAAAACAGAAAATGAGCTGAAATAACAATGACAACTGTAAGCTTGCAGAGAAAAGCTCGGGCGATATTCGAGGCGACTCCTCGTTCAATTGCAGCACAAAGGCCTTTCACAAAGTTAACGAGCCCCGCATTCCTCGCTGCTTTTACAAAGCAATTACGCAAAGTAAGCAGTAAAACGGTGAAATAATGGAGAAAGAGGCGTAGAACGCGGGGCATCTCTTGGCTACGCGAATAGCTGTACCAAGCGAAGGAGAGGGAGGTAGTCAAATCGATGTGGTTTATTAATCGCGACCAATGAAACGAGAGTTTTGCTTGTTTGGAAGCCGATGAACCTGCGGCGCCGCCGCGCCGCCGCCGCCACTGCCGCCGTCGGTTGAGTTATATACGCGGCTGCGGAACTGATCGTGCAGACTTGCTGGCGCCACACGCAATCCAGCCCCCATCCACCTTTATTTTCCGACTCGCAAACGACCGTTTCCACTTCCAACTCGGCTTTGCGCTCCTCGACTGTTCCACGCTTTTTTTCATTTTTTTCCGCTGAATTTGCCTTTGCGCTGTTTTATGGTTTCCAAAAGTTCCTTTTGTTAGCTGTCATTTACAAAACTTTCTCTTAGTCGATTTCTATGATAATTTTTCCTTTCTTTCAAATACTGATTTGAAAAAAGGTATTTGAAATAAGGAATACAACAATTAGCTGAAGGTAACGATACTTTTTAATTTTTTAAATGATGGAAGTATATGAGAGTGTCTATCACTAAGAGTTTCTGAATTAAATTGCTATAATTTAATTGGACACTCGCTCATTACCGTTTAAGAGACTCAAAGAAAAGCTCGGTCTCACAGAAAACGTACTAACACCACCACATCTTTCATTCAATCCGGGAACCCACTAACTCATACAGTAGCCAGTACAGAAAGAGCAGTGTACTTACGTTATTTTATGATAAGAATATACATTGAGAAATATAACTTTCAAAGCAGAATATCAACAAACGTAGAAAACTAATTGTGGCACGTTATAAAGTGATTACTCACGCTGTCAGAACTTGTTTTATCTTTAAGAATAATTATGTTACCCAGACAGACAATACGAATACAAACAACGACGTTCGTACCCATACAAATAAGCTTCATTTAAAAGATTAAATTTATACCAATAACAAGTTGATTGTGTACGCATACTTGCACTAATTTAGTACGACAAATAATTTTGAATATTTATCTCGGTATCTTATACACATTCAGATTACCAAGCAGCGCGAGGTCATTACATAAAATACGTGCGCATTCGTCGGTAAGGTCCATCCATCGTCCGGTAAAGCACGCACTCGGCATGTCTGCAATTGTGCAAGTTCCGCGGCGCTCGCATTCATTCCGTGTCTTTCAGCAGCGCGTTGGGTTACCCTGCACGTTCACGGTAACAGCAGCGCAGCAGCAGCAGCAGTAGCAGCAGCAGTAGCAGCTCAGTTTCTGGCCAATCGATATAGTTCAAGGATAACGCTCGCGCGGCGCGGCTCGGCGCGGTGCTCTTTTTCGAACATGAAACATTGACATGCGCGCGCTCGCTCGGCATCGATTGTCGGCCTCGCGCCGGAGCGAACGTGACTCCGCGAATAAAAGGCTCTCCGCGTGCACTGATATCGCCGGCGACGATCTGGTCCCGCATGAAAATTGCACTTATTAGCTGGCTCTTGCCTTCGCCCATGACGACTACGACGCCGGCGACAATGTCTCATTAAGAAATTGCAACGGGCTTGCGCGCGCAGCTCTATGGCTGGCTGCGTGTTTCGCCTGCTTAATGGCTTTTTCGCTGGCTTCTGCGTGGGAGTGTGCCCACTTGTTCGGCCTCGCAGGATTTATGCTTCGGCTCTCTCGCTAAAATATTAGCATTTGAATTCAAAACTGTTGTCTTTCTCGTGAGCGAATAACGTGCGCGCGCGCTTACGGAATTATTGATATTTCAGTGCCGAGTTTCGTCAGCGTAGGCAGACACCAGCTGTAAATACAATATCGTAGAGAATGGCCAACAATGGTCAAAATGGGCTTTCGGCATTCGTACAATACTCGGCGCTTCGTAAATTCGACCGACATTGGCCAGAGCAAACATTCGAAAATCGCTAATCAGTTTCCGATAACCATCGCGGTCGCACGACTCTGTGCAACGCAGAGAGAGAGAGAGAGAGAGAGAGAGAGAGAGAGAGAGAGTTCGCAGTGACATTCAGCTTTATTATGGGCGAGGCGTTAATCAGTTTGCCAATAAACCGAAATAAATTTGGCGAACGGAGAAGTGTAGCCCGCGCTAATTACAGGCCATAAATTTGTACCGTCCCCCTTTTCCTCCGCCAAGTTTCATCGGAAGCTCGGCGGAAACGCTGAATCGCTGCAATTTGCCGCCAACTCGCATGCGCTCCGTCTAGCTAAATCAATTTTTCCACTCGTCTCAGCGTCTGGATTCCCTTTCTCGAAGAAGCCAAAATCCAAACGGCTAGTTGACAAAAGTGCACGTAGCTCCGATATTCTCACCCCGATCGCCACTTTCAGCTCGCAAAGTTTGCTATAACGTCGCGGCAACTTTGCTGTTTGCCTCTAGCCAGAGAGAGACTTTACGCTTCACGAACCGACAGCTTCGAGATTGTTCAGCGTGCGACAATTGAAAAAAAAATTCTGGTAATAAGATACGCAGTTTGTTTTAAAAACTTGACTCGTACCTGTGATTTCACTCATACACTTATCTTATTTTTTGGCGAATAGAATGCATCAAGCGATCAGATCACTTTAACAACGTTGCTTGAAAAAATCAAAGTAAAAGAGCTAAAATGTTGTCAGCCCTACATCCGTTGCGGATGGTTGTCCTACCACCGATATTAAGAATGGCGAAGAATTGTATAGAATCAGCGATACGTAAAAAAATGGCAAAGCGGTATTGACGATAGTCTATAAAAAATCGATTACTAACCGAGTGAAAGAAGCGGCTCATAAAATATAAATAAATCGAGTCAAACTAAGAAGCCGTATAGACGCAGTTGATGTGGCAGTGACTTTTTGCGAGAAGCGTGTTGCGCTCGAGCGTAATAGTAGTGGCCTCGTTAGATTCGCATTTAGATTGTGACGGAGAGCTTGCCATTAATGGCTTATCTGCAGACGAGGGTCTGATAATTCGGTCTCGTAAGTCGGATTCAGCCGCGCGTATACCAAACAAACTTCTTTATTTTTTTGCTCTTACAAGCCGTAGCACACAAATACGGCTTCGAGAGGCTCTTTAACG